ACCGCCCTGGGGTCCTGGCGCCTGCCCCGGCTGGGGACGCGGGCTGGGAAGGCTGGGCAGGTTGGCATTGCATGTGTCACTTTGCTCCGTGCCCTGTGTTCTCTCTGTGTGAGACGTCCATTTCCCAGAGGCCACAGAGAAGGGACACAGGAAGGTGGGGCCGGAGAGAGCCCCAGTCCCAGGCAGCGGGCGCCAGTCTCCCACCTTCTGTCTGGGCCCGAGCACCTGGCACAGACCCGCAGGGGCCAAAGCCTGCCTTGCTCTCTCCTCCCGGACACTGGCCCTGGTTTCCGTTCTCTAAAACGAGTGTCTTACAGGCTGCAGCTGCATCGGGCCATCCAGGGATGTGAAGGGGCAGCAGGGTACATGTTCACTCAGGGTGACTATTTCCTGAGCACCTACTATGCGCCAGGCTTTGTTCCAGTCACAGGGCCACACTCCCACTGCCGTACAGCTGGCTAGCCTTTCCCAAAGGCGCCAGGCAGACCCTCCGCCAGCTCTGCCTGGGAGTCTACGGGCAGCCCGCGCAGGGCGGCTGCAGGGCGGTGCTGATCAGCGGCTCCGGTGCAGACATTCCACCAGGCGTGCCGGCCACACAGGTGCCCAGAAATAACTTCAAAGGCACAGGTGACAGTAAAATGTACTAAAATAGGAAGTGGTGGGTTTTGAGTTTTTTTACCTTTGTTTTTAATAAAATTTATCTCATTGTACATTTACATAATTTAATTTTTAATCACTCTAACAACCAACTTGGAAGATTAATGAAAACTTAACATTGTGCTCTTGTGAGCAAGGTTGCCAGTCTAGCCATCTTCCCTGCATCTGGGTTACCGCGAAAGCCAGCCTCCACCGCCTGCACCCCCAGCCTTCACCCACTGCACCCCCAGCCTCCACCGCCTGCTCCCTCAGCTTCCACCGCCTGCTCCCCCAGCCTCCACCGCCTGCTCCCTCAGCTTCCACCGCCTGCTCCCCCAGCCTCCACCGCCTGCTCCCTCAGCTTCCACCGCCTGCTCCCCCAGCCTCCACCGCCTGCTCCCTCAGCTTCCACCGCCTGCTCCCCCAGCCTCCACCGCCTGCTCCCTCAGCTTCCACCGCCTGCTCCCCCAGCCTCCACCGCCTGCTCCCTCAGCTTCCACCGCCTGCTCCCCCAGCCTCCACCGCCTGCTCCCTCAGCTTCCACCGCCTGCTCCCCCAGCCTCCACCGCCTGCTCCCTCAGCTTCCACCGCCTGCTCCCCCAGCCTCCACCGCCTGCTCCCTCAGCTTCCACCGCCTGCTCCCCCAGCCTCCACCGCCTGCTCCCTCAGCTTCCACCGCCTGCTCCCCCAGCCTCCACCGCCTGCTCCCTCAGCTTCCACCGCCTGCTCCCCCAGCCTCCACCGCCTGCTCCCTCAGCTTCCACCGCCTGCTCCCCCAGCCTCCACCGCCTGCTCCCTCAGCTTCCACCGCCTGCTCCCCCAGCCTCCACCGCCTGCTCCCTCAGCTTCCACCGCCTGCTCCCCCAGCCTCCACCGCCTGCTCCCTCAGCTTCCACCGCCTGCTCCCCCAGCCTCCACCGCCTGCTCCCTCAGCTTCCACCGCCTGCTCCCCCAGCCTCCACCGCCTGCTCCCTCAGCTTCCACCGCCTGCTCCCCCAGCCTCCACCGCCTGCTCCCTCAGCTTCCACCGCCTGCTCCCCCAGCCTCCACCGCCTGCTCCCTCAGCTTCCACCGCCTGCTCCCCCAGCCTCCACCGCCTGCTCCCTCAGCTTCCACCGCCTGCTCCCCCAGCCTCCACCGCCTGCTCCCTCAGCTTCCACCGCCTGCTCCCCCAGCCTCCACCGCCTGCTCCCTCAGCTTCCACCGCCTGCTCCCCCAGCCTCCACCGCCTGCTCCCTCAGCTTCCACCGCCTGCTCCCCCAGCCTCCACCGCCTGCTCCCTCAGCTTCCACCGCCTGCTCCCCCAGCCTCCACCGCCTGCTCCCTCAGCTTCCACCGCCTGCTCCCCCAGCCTCCACCGCCTGCTCCCTCAGCTTCCACCGCCTGCTCCCCCAGCCTCCACCGCCTGCTCCCTCAGCTTCCACCGCCTGCTCCCCCAGCCTCCACCGCCTGCTCCCTCAGCTTCCACCGCCTGCTCCCCCAGCCTCCACCGCCTGCTCCCTCAGCTTCCACCGCCTGCTCCCCCAGCCTCCACCGCCTGCTCCCTCAGCTTCCACCGCCTGCTCCCCCAGCCTCCACCGCCTGCTCCCTCAGCTTCCACCGCCTGCTCCCCCAGCCTCCACCGCCTGCTCCCTCAGCTTCCACCGCCTGCTCCCCCAGCCTCCACCGCCTGCTCCCTCAGCTTCCACCGCCTGCTCCCCCAGCCTCCACCGCCTGCTCCCTCAGCTTCCACCGCCTGCTCCCCCAGCCTCCACCGCCTGCTCCCTCAGCTTCCACCGCCTGCTCCCCCAGCCTCCACCGCCTGCTCCCTCAGCTTCCACCGCCTGCTCCCCCAGCCTCCACCGCCTGCTCCCTCAGCTTCCACCGCCTGCTCCCCCAGCCTCCACCGCCTGCTCCCTCAGCTTCCACCGCCTGCTCCCCCAGCCTCCACCGCCTGCTCCCTCAGCTTCCACCGCCTGCTCCCCCAGCCTCCACCGCCTGCTCCCTCAGCTTCCACCGCCTGCTCCCCCAGCCTCCACCGCCTGCTCCCTCAGCTTCCACCGCCTGCTCCCCCAGCCTCCACCGCCTGCTCCCTCAGCTTCCACCGCCTGCTCCCCCAGCCTCCACCGCCTGCTCCCTCAGCTTCCACCGCCTGCTCCCCCAGCCTCCACCGCCTGCTCCCTCAGCTTCCACCGCCTGCTCCCCCAGCCTCCACCGCCTGCTCCCTCAGCTTCCACCGCCTGCTCCCCCAGCCTCCACCGCCTGCTCCCTCAGCTTCCACCGCCTGCTCCCCCAGCCTCCACCGCCTGCTCCCTCAGCTTCCACCGCCTGCTCCCCCAGCCTCCACCGCCTGCTCCCTCAGCTTCCACCGCCTGCTCCCCCAGCCTCCACCGCCTGCTCCCTCAGCTTCCACCGCCTGCTCCCCCAGCCTCCACCGCCTGCTCCCTCAGCTTCCACCGCCTGCTCCCCCAGCCTCCACCGCCTGCTCCCTCAGCTTCCACCGCCTGCTCCCCCAGCCTCCACCGCCTGCTCCCTCAGCTTCCACCGCCTGCTCCCCCAGCCTCCACCGCCTGCTCCCTCAGCTTCCACCGCCTGCTCCCCCAGCCTCCACCGCCTGCTCCCTCAGCTTCCACCGCCTGCTCCCCCAGCCTCCACCGCCTGCTCCCTCAGCTTCCACCGCCTGCTCCCCCAGCCTCCACCGCCTGCTCCCTCAGCTTCCACCGCCTGCTCCCCCAGCCTCCACCGCCTGCTCCCTCAGCTTCCACCGCCTGCTCCCCCAGCCTCCACCGCCTGCTCCCTCAGCTTCCACCGCCTGCTCCCCCAGCCTCCACCGCCTGCTCCCTCAGCTTCCACCGCCTGCTCCCCCAGCCTCCACCGCCTGCTCCCTCAGCTTCCACCGCCTGCTCCCCCAGCCTCCACCGCCTGCTCCCTCAGCTTCCACCGCCTGCTCCCCCAGCCTCCACCGCCTGCTCCCTCAGCTTCCACCGCCTGCTCCCCCAGCCTCCACCGCCTGCTCCCTCAGCTTCCACCGCCTGCTCCCCCAGCCTCCACCGCCTGCTCCCTCAGCTTCCACCGCCTGCTCCCCCAGCCTCCACCGCCTGCTCCCTCAGCTTCCACCGCCTGCTCCCCCAGCCTCCACCGCCTGCTCCCTCAGCTTCCACCGCCTGCTCCCCCAGCCTCCACCGCCTGCTCCCTCAGCTTCCACCGCCTGCTCCCCCAGCCTCCACCGCCTGCTCCCTCAGCTTCCACCGCCTGCTCCCCCAGCCTCCACCGCCTGCTCCCTCAGCTTCCACCGCCTGCTCCCCCAGCCTCCACCGCCTGCTCCCTCAGCTTCCACCGCCTGCTCCCCCAGCCTCCACCGCCTGCTCCCTCAGCTTCCACCGCCTGCTCCCCCAGCCTCCACCGCCTGCTCCCTCAGCTTCCACCGCCTGCTCCCCCAGCCTCCACCGCCTGCTCCCTCAGCTTCCACCGCCTGCTCCCCCAGCCTCCACCGCCTGCTCCCTCAGCTTCCACCGCCTGCTCCCCCAGCCTCCACCGCCTGCTCCCTCAGCTTCCACCGCCTGCTCCCCCAGCCTCCACCGCCTGCTCCCTCAGCTTCCACCGCCTGCTCCCCCAGCCTCCACCGCCTGCTCCCTCAGCTTCCACCGCCTGCTCCCCCAGCCTCCACCGCCTGCTCCCTCAGCTTCCACCGCCTGCTCCCCCAGCCTCCACCGCCTGCTCCCTCAGCTTCCACCGCCTGCTCCCCCAGCCTCCACCGCCTGCTCCCTCAGCTTCCACCGCCTGCTCCCCCAGCCTCCACCGCCTGCTCCCTCAGCTTCCACCGCCTGCTCCCCCAGCCTCCACCGCCTGCTCCCTCAGCTTCCACCGCCTGCTCCCCCAGCCTCCACCGCCTGCTCCCTCAGCTTCCACCGCCTGCTCCCCCAGCCTCCACCGCCTGCTCCCTCAGCTTCCACCGCCTGCTCCCCCAGCCTCCACCGCCTGCTCCCTCAGCTTCCACCGCCTGCTCCCCCAGCCTCCACCGCCTGCTCCCTCAGCTTCCACCGCCTGCTCCCCCAGCCTCCACCGCCTGCTCCCTCAGCTTCCACCGCCTGCTCCCCCAGCCTCCA